TGCTAGGCTGCATTAACAGAGGGATAGAATCAAGATCACGTGAAGTATTAATACCACTTTACAATGCCTTGGTAAGGCCACACTTGGAATACTGCATCCAGTTTTGGTCACCACGATGTAAAAAAGATGTTGAGACTCTAGAAAGAGTACAGAGAAGAGCAACAAAGATGATTAGGGGACTGGAGGCTAAAACATATAATGAACGGTTGCTGGAATTGGGTATGTCTAGTTTAACAAAGAGAAGGATGAGGGAGGACATGATAGCAGTGTTCCAATATGTCAGGGGCTGCCACAAAGAAGAGGGAGTCAAGCTATTTTCCAAAGTGCCTGAAGGCAAGACAAGGAGCAACGGGTGGAAGCTAACGAAAGAGAGAAGCAACCTAGAACTAAGGAGAAACTTCCTGACAGTTAGAACAATTAACCAGAGGAACCACCTGCCTCCAGAAGTGGTGAATGCGCCAACACTGGAAGTTTTTAAGAAAAAACTGGACAGCCATTTGTCCGAAATGGTATAGGGTTTCCTGTCTGAGCAGGGGGTTGGACTAGATGACCTCCAAGGTCCCTTCCAACTTTATCATCATCATCATCATCGTTTAAAAACACTGATACAGAAGCCAATTCTTCCTTTAAAATATTACCCCTCCCCCCCAAAAAAATAGAGTAAATAAAATAAGTAACAAATTAAGAAAATTTCCTCCTTGAAATAATAAACATATGTTTATTGAAATAATAAACATGTTCAACCACACAGGGCAATGCACTTCACTGAGGACACCCTGAAGACATAACAAACAAAAGTCTGGGTGTTTGTTGCTGACCACAGGTAACTTGTAAGCAGTTAAAGCATCTGATAAGGAATTCATTAATGGAGAAATTCCTTCTTCATGTCATCATTGTTTAGAAATGTTATCACATTCTAAACATGCCTCAAAGATAAATATAAATGAGACTGATCCTTGCATTTGTTAAAAATTCTTGTTTCTTACTGTATTTTCTTTACAATTCAGATTGTGCCTCAGTAGAATAATGTAGCATTTGGGGAAAAAGATACATGCCAGAGGCCAAAATGGAGAAGATCTCCACAGTCATCATGGACTTGCCTTTAGTGCTCAGGTAGGTGGGGAGGAAAGTGATCCAAACACTGCAGAGACCAGCATGCTGAAAGTAATGAAGTTGACTTCATTAAAGCTGTCAGGCAATTTCCTAGCTAGAAAGGCCATTGTGAAACTGATGAGGGCAAAAAAAACTGGATAAGCAAGGACAGTGTAAAATATTAAAGCCGAGCCTTCCTTGCATTCCAAGATCTCTAGAATAGAATAGAATAGAATAGAATAGAATAGAATAGAATAGAATAGAATAGAATAGAATAGAATAGAATAGAATAGAAGCTGGACGAGACCTTGGACACAATTGGTGTGTCATGATTTTTATAGAAAATCACCAGGACTGCAGATGTAGTCACAGAGAGAAAAGAGTGAGAGAGAGATTAAAGTGTATCCCAGGATCTCTTGATAGGCAAGGAAATGGATCTTTTTGGCAATTGCATTGGTCATTGTCCTTGTTGGGATATTCATCTTCTGGGCAAGGTTCACAGTGAGCTGCATTTGAAATCAAGAATCTTTGTCTAAGGATTTTAGGGGGATCTGCCATGAGCATTGTCCTTCCCACAGAGATGATATGGCTGTCCCCTTTCAATTTCAACCAACCAACAAAAGAGGTGATGAATGACCCATTGTGCAATTTATGGGGCATCAAAAACAGCAATTGATCCTTCATTCATGATGACCCTGGGGATAGGATAACCAGAGATTCAGCTATCCACTCCCTGGACACTTCTGTGATTACTGTGGCTTTCCGTTTCAGATTGTGGTCTGTTATTTTCCCCACTATATACTTGAACCCACAAAAAAGTGTTCTATTGAAAAGTCATAGATAGATGGATATCTTTTTTCTCTCTCAGGTCTATTTCCTCAGAGATTGACAGAGCTGAGAGAAGAAGCAAACATACCCTCCAATGACCCTGACCTGAAGTACCTCCCCATCATAAGCCTCTCTCTGATGACTCACACCTGGCCCATCTCAAGACTCTCACTTGACACTCCCACACCTGAAACCCTTGTATAACACTGACACAGACATCCACTAAACACTGCTGAAGATGTTACCTAGTGTGGTAATGAAATGTTTGGAAACCAACCCCCAAACTTGGAGAACGAACCTCCATCCTCATCCTACACCTGAGCTACAGATATTCTGCACTATTGCAAACAAAAATCTCTAACAAATGCTGGGATAGGCCACATTTTTATTTGTCTTTAAAGCGTATTCAGAATAGAGTGGCATTTCTATGTGGTCATGAGATGAAGAAAGATTTTGTCAATTAATAATTGGTTATCAAGTGTGTTGACTGGTCACAATATACCTGTTTTGTCAGCAACAATCACCCATGGGCTGCCACAAAGAAAAGAGGGTCAACTTATTTTCCAAAGCACCAGAGGATGGGATGAGAAACAATGAATGGAAACTAATCAAGGATAGAAGCAACCTAAAACTAAAGAGAAATTTCCTGACAGCGAGAGCAATAATCCAGTCAAAAGGCTTGCCTTCAGAAGTTATGGGTGCTCCATCACAGGAGGTTTTTAAGAAGAGACTGGACAGCCATTTGTCTGAAATGTTATTGGGTTTCCTGCTTGAGCAGAGGCTGGACTAGAAGACCTCCAAGGCTCCTTTCAGCTCTATTCTGAAAGTTTTTTCCAAGTCCTCCTTTTATCCACACTGAGGTCCAGTTCTCTGTATGGAAATAAACTTGATGTTAAAGATGTTTATTGTCAAGGTCCAGGGAAATCAGCAGATTTAGGCAGTTCAAATAGTATAAAGATTTATTGCAAGCTTAAGCTCTCTACAAAAAATCTGAGCTACTAACAATCAAGGGAAATTAGAAGGAATTAAGAAGGCATTCAAGGTGGGCTGGATTTAGATTTATTGCAGGGGTGCAGGGACTCATGACTTATGATGCATTTGACTCCTCCCTCGGGATCATCTCCTACATTTATTATTTCACAGAGGACATTTTCTCATTGTGTTGCTTTTAATGGAAACTTTTAACATATTACTGTTTTACAGTATTGCATTCACTATCAAGGTACTAGGAATTGCCACTCGAAGAAATATTCAAACTGCAGAGGGTGGGGACTGAAAAATGATGCAGGGCAAAATAGTGGGTCTGAGGCAAGCTTTGGATTATCCTTAGGAAATCCTCCAACAGTCAGAGTAATAGATATACCACTGAAAAAGAAAAAGAAAAGATCCAGAAGAAGCCAGCATGGTCATATAAAGAACTCTATCATAAACTGAAAGACAAAATGGATAAGTATAAAAGAGGGAAAGAGGGACGCGTAAGTAAGTCAGAACACCAGCAAATAGCCAGAATCTGCAAAAATGAAGTTAGGAAAGCTAAGGCTCAGAATGAACTAAGACTTGCAACAAATGTCAAAAATAATAATAAAAAGTTTCTTTCAACATATAAAAAACAAGAAAAAAGTCAAGGCAAAAATTGGTCCACTAATGGGAGAAGATGACAAGGAAGTGATGGGTAGCAGGGAGAAAGCAGAGCTGCTTAATACTTTCTTTGCATTTATCTTCACACAAAAAGAAGAAATAGCCCAACCTACAAAAACCAGAATTAATTAATTAAATTAAAATTAAATTAAAATAGGCAAGAAAATGGTAACAGAACACCTGGCTGTACTAGATGAGTTCAAATCACCAGGACTTGAGGATTACATCCCAGAGCTCTGAAAGAGCAGGCATACATGATGTTGGAATCATTGAACCATATCTTTCAAAGATCTTGGAGCACCAGGGAACTAGCAGAGGACTGTAATGAAGTAAGCAATGGGGTACTCCAAAGTTTCATTTTAGGCCCAGTACTCGTCAATATCTTCACAGACAATCTAGATAAGGAAATAGAAGAGGAACTCATCAAATTTGCAGATAACAGTAACTTGGCAGGAATAGCCAACATCTGAGAAGACAAGCTCAAGATCCAAAAAGATCTTGACAGATTTGAACACTAGACTCTATCTAACAAAATGGAATTCAGTGTAGATAAAAATAAGGTTTTTATACTTAGGCAAGAAAAACCAACTATATAGGTATAGATTAGTGAAACCTGGCTTAAGGTTGGCTTGGAGTCCTAGTGGACAATCACTTAAATATGAGCCAGCTGTGTGTGGCAGCAGCCAAAAAAGCCAATGCAATCCTAGAATTAATAGAATCAATCAATAAAATCAAGGTCACATGAAGTATTAGTACCCCTTTAAAAAGCCTTAGTAAGACCACACTTGGAATATTGCATCCAGTTTTGGATACCAGAATATAAAAAAGATGTTGAGATTCTGGAAAGAGTGCGGAGAAAAGTGCCAAAATGATTAGGGGACTAGAGACTAAAATGTATGAAGAATGTTTGCAGGTATTGGGTATGGCTAGTCTAGTGAAAAGATGGATTAGGAGTGACATGATAAGCAGTGCTCCAATATTTGAGGGGGATCAATCTATTTTTCAAAGCACCAGAAGAGAAGACAAGAAATAGATGGAAATTAAACAAGGAGAAAGGCAACCTAAAACTAGGGTGAAACTAACAGTGAGGACAATTAAGTGGTGAAACGGCTTGCCTTCAGAAGTGGTTGGTGTTCTATTTCTGGTGGCTTTTAAGAAGAGACTGGACAGCCATTTATCTGAAATGGAATAGGGTCTCCTGCTCAAGCAGGAGGTTGGACTAGAAGACCTCCAAGGTCCCTTCCAACTCTGTTCTAATGTTAAGGTCTATGAGAAAACTTAGTTTCTAATCTAATACACTTCTATATTGATAAAAATAAACCATTCAAACACTGATATGATTGCTCATACCTACCAGGGTACAACAGTTTATCATGTGCCACCATGCCCTACTAGCACACTTTCTGAACAAACTATGTCACAGGTGCTAAGTTTCAGGTACCTCAAACACCCAGCTTCACCTTGGATCTCAAGACCATTTGCTCTGCAGATTAGCAACAAGGGAAATAAACATGTTTTTCCCCTTCTAGTGCCAGGACAATTGTTTTTCTTTGCAATTGTCAGAAGAACACTAATTGCTAATGTATTCCCTGTAGATTTCTACCCTCACAAATCTTCCAAAATGAAACGTGCTATAAAAAAAATATGCTCTTAGTTCTCCCTGTAGGATAAGGACATGATATCTTGCCTTGTCTTGCAAGAAGCAAACTCCTGGGTTTGCTGAGACTCAGCTGGCCATAGATTTCTCTTTGGTCACAGCCCAAACAGAGGGAAGAGGAAACATGGTTGATATAAATTTGCATTGAGGCCATCCAGCTGGGAAGGCAGTCTATATTTTGCTAAAGCTCTGGTGAGAATTTCAAGTGCTACCTGCAATTCAGCCTCTGCATACACCTTCATTTCTGATGTAGGAAGGAAGGTAACAAGAATGATTGGGCTGCCTCTCTTCCTGCTGTTGCTCTTCTGGCTCCTGCCTCCAAATGCTGCTAGGAAGATGCAATCTATATGTGTGTTGAGGAATTATTTCCAGTCACAGGAAAGCTACTATAAGCCTGGTGATCTCATTATTGGTGGGAATTTTCATCTGGGAACCACTACTCTTTCCATTGTTCCAGACTTTCAAAACAACCCATTCCTGCTTTTTATGCCAAGTTTGTAAGTCTCACCTGGAGGGATATGATGTAGTTAATTGTTTAGAATAGAATAGAATAGAATAGAATAGAATAGAATAGAATAGAATAATAGAATAGAATAGAATAGAGTTGGATATAAGCAAAATGCCCAGATACTCAGAAATTTTAGATAAACCGGGGAAGCTCAAAAATAGTCAGTTATTAAAAGAACAAGGAATAACTATTGATTGGTGGCCATATTTACAACTGCAATCTAGATACAAGAAAGATGTGGAAGAGTATGGAATTGACACGGAACTAAAACAATTAGACAAACTATTGCTAGGCCCTGAAGGAAAATTAATATCCAAAATATATAACTATTTATTAGAATTTGATAGAGTAGAGGAGATAGTGAAAGAACCTATGATTGCATGGGCAAAAAACATAGGGCACAATATAAAATTAGAAGATTGGGAAAGAATTTGGAACAAAAATTACAAAATAACAAAATCCGCTGCATATAAGGAAAATCAGTATAAAATGCTATACCGTTGGCACCTAGCCCCTGCAAGATTGGCGAAAATGTATCCGAACCAAAGCCCAAAATGTTGGAAATGTAACTATCATCAAAGTACCTTCTTTCATGCTTGGTGGCTGTGTCCTGAAGCGAAAAAATATTGGACTAAGATACAAGGATGGCTACAAGAGCTAACAAAATGTCAAATAGAATTAAACCCGGAAACATTTCTCCTGGGAATACTTAAAAAGAAATTTGATAGGAAAATAAGATATCTGATTCTACATATATTAAGTGCGACAAGAATTGCGTTCACGCAATACTGGAAGAAACGCAATATACCACCAGAGGGATTGATCATTCAGAAGTTATATGAATGTGCCGAAATGAACAAACTCACTCTAGAATTAAAAGAAAAAGATGATTTGGAATTTTACGCGGTTTGGGAAAAATGGTATACTTGGATAGACAATAGAAACAAAAATTGGAAATATACATAAGGCTATTGTGGGTTAGATATTGAATGTATATAGTGTATATATTGTATAGAATGTTGATCTGAAGTATATAAAAATGACACAGTCTGCTGAATATGTACTAGAGCTGTATAAAGGAAAATGATAATAAAAATTATTATGAAAAAAAAGAATAGAACAGAACAGAATAGAACAGAACAGAATACAGCTGGAAGGGACCTTGGAGGTCTTCTAGTCCAACCCCCTGCTCAAGCTTTGTTTGCTTTGTTTTAAATTCAGGTACTCCTTTCAAAAATACCTGTGTAGTTCAAATCCTTCTTCTTTTCTCAGTAAAGAGTGAAACTCTTAAAATAGGTACAATTCTCTATACAGATGTTTTCATCAGAAAGATGATAAATAACAAAAGCAAGGATGGACAACAGGTTAGAAACTGTCCTGGGCTAGTGAAGAAGTTGAGTTATAATATTAATTTGGACAGAAGTTCATGGTGGGAAGCTCAAAGAGAAGCTCATTTTTTTTCCAGTGTTCAGGAGTTGTATAAAACCCCCTCAGTTTTGGAATCAGCACTGCTGACAGTGTTTAATAAATAGATGCTGGGATTCACACTGAAGAAGCTCTCCAAAAGAGAACTAAATTAATTTGGGTGCTAGTAGAGCAATGGGGAAAGATTATAACCACTGGAGCAATGTGAAGAAGGAAAAGACCTTAGAGAATATAAAATGCTCTGTGATATGAAAAGAGACATTTTCTCCTTTCTCCCAAAGTCATCCAAGTATCATCAAGAAATGTCCTTCAAAAAGACTCAAACCAATGAAACTTGGGACTTATGAGTCTAACCAACACCAAAAAAAGACAAGACAAACTCCACCAGCTTGACCTCTTCTGAAAATTTCCCCACTGATTTTTCTCACTATAGACTCATACCAAAGAGCTACCAGCAGTTCCTGGCCTTGGTATTTGCAGTCAGAGAGATCAACAAGGACCTGGTTATCCTCCCCAATATCACACTTGGATTGCAAATTTCTGACAATCAACAGACCGAGAGAAATATTTCCATAATCAGCCTCTCCCTGCTTTCCACACGAGGCCGAATGGTTCCAGGTTATCAGTGTGACAGGCAGGACACTCTACTCTCTGTCATTGGAGGCTTCATCCCCAAATCCTCAAGGCAGATGGCTTCCATCTTCAGCACCTTCAAGGTCCCACAGGTAAGGAGAATCCAATGATGGATACTCACATAGACAAACAAGAGAAGCAGACGCAGAAACCAAAGATAAAACCAAAAGTGTTTACTGGGGCACATAATGAATATGTGACTTACAGAATCCACATGATAGTTGAATTTATTTTTGTGGTTATATAACAGGATAGAGGTAGATAATGAAATATTCCCTAAATGGTGACCTTGCCAAGAGGAATTCTTTATATAGGAGTTGCTTCCTTATTAACTAATACTTCACAAAAGTGTAGCCACCCTTTCAGTGCAGTGTATTCTCTGTATTAGATCAATGGTTGACTAGTGGGGGAATCAACCATACAATGGTGACCCCTAAAGTCAACATCAACCTTTACTTTGTCTTTGAAATAAGATTCTCACTTTCTCCAGCTCGGTGTTGGCTTTGAGTTCTCGCAGAGAGAGAAAAGAGTTTATCCTTCCTTTTGCCAGATTAATCCCAAGGAATTCCCTCAGTATGTGGGTTTAGTTCAACTGCTCCTGTATTTCCAGTGGAACTGGGTTGGGCTTGTGACTAACAAAGATGACAGTGGAGAACGTTTCATCTCATCTCTGATGCCAATGCTCAAGGAGAAGGAGATATGTGTGGCCTTCACTGAAATATTGAAATCAGATAATTGTTTTCATAGAATGAATACATTTGTTCTTTTTTTACAAAACTGTTGTAAAGCTGAAGTGATTATTCTCTTTGGAGACCCTCATACTAATGCAGATGTACAGTCAGCTCTGCATATTTACGTAACATCCTCCAAGTCACTGCCTCAGAAAGTTTGGATCCTAACTTCCCAATGGAAACATAATGTAGTGGCAGCTAAAGACATATTGCCAGTTATAAAGCCTTTCCATGGGGCTTTGCAGTTGAGGGACCACACAGGGGATATCTTACAATTCAGCCATTTTCTCATGTCTTTAGACCCTTTGAACCCAGAAGGGGACATTTTTCTCCCACAGTGGTGGGAAAAGATCTTTGACTGCAAGATGAACAAACCTGGAAAGAAGAAAAAGCAATGTATAGGAAAGGAGAATATACAAAATGTGCCAACTCACATTTTTGAAACAAGCATGACAGGTGAAAGTTACAATATCTACAATGCCATTTTTGCTCTGGCACATGCACTACACACAATGTATGCATCAGGGATGAAACCAGCCATGAGGAGGCTTGGAAAGACGATCTCAGATATCCAATCATGGCAGGTAATTTATGTGATATTTTATTTATTGCATAGAGCCTTTGAAAGAAAGTTTCCTATATGTATTCCTTGAATTACTGATTAAACATCTTTACGCTACTGTACAACTCAGAACAGATTAGGGAAGGGATTATTTTAAAACAGTATAACAATATATATATAACAACACCTCCCGCCTGGACTACTGCAATGCTCTCTACATGGGGCTCCCCTTGAGGAGCACTCGGAGGCTCCAGTTAGTCCAGAATGCAGCCGCGCGGGCGGTGTTGGGAGTGACTCGTCGCTCCCATGTAACGCCGCTGCTGCGCGAGCTGCACTGGCTGCCGGTGGCTTTCCNAAGCACTCCATGGCATCGGACCTGGTTATCTCCGAGACCGCCTTCTGCCTCAGATTACCCCCCACCGGCCGATACGCTCCCACAGAGAGGGCCTCCTCAGGGTGCCGTCAGCCAGACAGTGCCGGCTGGCGACCCCCAGGAGGAGGGCCTTCTCGGTTGGAGCTCCCACCCTATGGAACGAACTACCCCCAGAGATCCGAGTGATTCCGGATCTCCCCTCCTTCCGCCGCGCCCTCAAGACATGGCTATTTAAACTGGCAGGACTGGCCTAAGGGTTATTTTTAACTTGGTTTTATAATAATTTTTTTTTTTAAAAAAAATTAAATTATAAAGGCCTTATAATAATATTTTATTTTAATTAACTTTTTAACGTTAGTATTTTTGTAGTTATGTACTTGTTTTTAAAAAGGCTGTAAGCCGCCCTGAGTCCGCAGGGAGAAGGGCGGGGTAGAAATTTAAATAATAAATAAATAAAATAATAAATAAATATGAAATAAGTACAATTGAGCCCAAAATTTCCATTGCTTAAATAAGGCAATTTTAAGTGAGTTTTGACCCATTTTATGACATTTTTTGCCACAGTTATTGAGCACATTACCGCAGTTCTTAAATGAATCATATGGTCATTAAAGGAATTTGGCTTCCCCCATTGACTTGCCTGTTGTAAGGCAGCTGGGAAGGCTACAAATGGGGATCATATGACCCGAGGACAGTGCAACTATTATAAATACATGCAAGTTGCCAAGTGCCCCAATTTTGATCATGGAGATGCTTCAACTGCGTGAAAATTGGTAATAAGGACAGGAAGCAATGGATGGAACCTAATCAAGGAGAGATCCAATCTAGAACTAAGGAGAGATTTCCTGACAGTGAGAACAATGAACCAATGGAACAGCTTGTGGATTCCATTGATTGTGGTTGCCCCATCACTGGAGATTCTTAAGAAGAGACTGGACAGCCATTTGTCCAAATGGTATAGGGTTTCCTACTTGAGCAGACCTCCAAGGTCCCTTCCAACTCTGTTATTCTTTATAATGTTTGATTGAAATGGGGTAGAGGGGTGAAAAGAGAAGTAAATCAAACCAGGATCTTATAAGATCCTGAAAACCTTTCAGCAGTTCCCTGAATTTCAGGAGGTGACCATTCCAAGGAGAATGTGTCATTGCAGAGCAAGATGACAATCTAGGTTGTGCAAGAAGCTTCAACAGCCTAGTTGAACTAGTGGGCATATTTGCAGAACCATCTCAGTTTCCCTCAACATGTAGCCTGAATCCAAGGTCTAAAAAGACCTCAATTCAGTCTCTCTTAAGCTTGATTTATGTTTATGTGGCTTAGAGTCCTTTATGACTCCACATTATTTCTTTTGTTTGTCATTTGTTGTACTGCTAAACGTATTGTATGAAAGCAGTTTTTGTCAAATCTGGCTTACAGAGTAGGATTCAAAGATGTCCTAGTGGGTCCTAGTCTGAAATTTATGAGATTTTTCTTCATCAAAGACTAAACATTGGACCACTCTGGATAGTGAAATGATATAGATGCATTTGTCATTCACAAGACCTCAGGTCAAAATAAACATTTAAAAATCTATGTCCCCAAGTATCACAGTAGAAAAACCATATAAGGAAATTTGGAATATAGAATTAAAATCTTTTTATGTACCGTATTTTTCAGTCTATAAGCTGCACCCTTGTATAAGACACTCTGGCATGCGAGTTTCTCCATGCCAATCAGCTGTTTGGCAGAGTGCCAAACAGCTGAGCCGGCAACTCCAGAAGTTTGGCTGGCCGAAGATCTTGCCCCCTTCCACTTTCCATTAGTGGCAAGCCCTGCATCTGCACCAGGCAGCATGGCAACCCACACAGGCATGCCCTGGGCTGCGGAGGTTACCATTATTTTTCCGTGTATAAGACTCTGCACTTGTATAAGATGCATCTGATTTTTGAACAGGGTGTTTGCAGGAAAAAATAGCATCTTATACACGGAAAAATATGGTAGGTATCATTCTGGTATAGTAGGAATAGAAGAAGCCATCATACAACCATAAAGAAAAACATTTGTAGTGCTGGAGAAGGAGTCAAATATTTGGTTTTACTCCTGATTGCTCAGATCTTCACCAAGTGAAAATGTCTAGCTTTTCAGATATACATCCCATTTTCTAAGATGCTGACTATCGCAGAATGATAGAAGCCATGATGTCTCATTTGTGACTTTCTGGTTAGAATAGAATAGAATAGAATAGAACAACAGAGTTGGAAGGTACCTTGGAGGTCTTCTAGTCCAACCCCCTGCTTAAGCAGGAACCCCTATATGATTACAGACAAATAGTTCTCCAATTTCTTCTTAAAAACTTCCAGTGTTGGAGCATTCACAACTTCTGGAAGCAAGTTGTTTCACTGATTAATTGTTCTAACTGTCAGGAAATTTCTTCTTAGTTTCAGGTTCTTCTCTCCTTGATTAGTTTCCATCTACCAAGTTGATGGAAATTCAACGAAGTAATTGGTTGATTACTTTAATTTGTGAAGGTCCCTTTTCTTTCAGATTCTTGCCTATTTGAGGAATGTCCACTTCAACAACAGTGCTGGAGATGAAGTCTCCTTCTCAGAAAATGGACTTGGATCTGCTCAATATGATCTTCTCAATTGGGTTTTCCTCCCCAATCAATCTTTTATTCCCATGAAAGTTGGGCAAGTAAATCCTGAGGCTCCCCCAGGCCAAAATTTCATCATTATGTCTGATACAATCATTTGGGTCACAAAGGTGAGATGGAAGGAAATGTTGTAAATTTAAGAGAACATTCATTCTGCCCTGGGCTGCAGAATATCCTTCTAACTGGAAACAAATCTATTGAATTACATGCAGACATTTGGTGAAAAATCTTCTTTGCATGTAACACAATTGAGGTCAGATATGTGGCAGGTCTACAAAGGTTTGGAATTGGAATCCAGGATGCAATTGGAGGAGACAACAACAATTTCCATGGAACATTCCTGTTCAGTTGGATCCTCATGAATCTTTTTTTTAACAAAGCTCAACGCTTTCCCCCCTTCCTTTCAAGACTCAGCTCCCAAAATTCCAATCTCCAGAATCCATTGATGGATCAGGAATGCTACTGGCCTGAATCCCTCAGGAGATTTCTTGTAGACCCTGGTTAACTATTTATTTTGAAGACGTTCTGAACATGGAAAAAGAAATGTGGAAATCAATAATGAAGCTTGTTCATTTTTTAGGCCATCTCAACCATTTTTCTCTTTTAGCTGAACATAAAAATAGGAATATAGAATTGAAATAGGAATGTGGAAAAAAATTAATGAAGCATATTCATTGCTTAGATCAGGGGTGTCAAACTCAATTTCATTGAGGACCGCATCAGCATTGCAGTTGCCCTCAGGGGGGCTGGATGGGTGCAGCCTACTTGGTGGGCGTGGATGGAGTGGGTGTGGCCTACTGGGTGGGCATGGCGAGCTCTACATCGTTCGTGTCAAGGGTGCCTGTGGGGGCCTGGGCAGGAGTGGGACAGATCTCAGGGTCTCTGGCAGAAGGGGGTGGGACCGGGGCAAGCACCAAGGTATGGTCCATTTCTTCATTCCTCACAAAGGGTGACACCTCCCCAGCATGCACCCAGGGGGCAGGGCCAACGCAGCAGGAGCCAGTCCTGTTTATAGATGGTCTTGTGGAGCTAAGACTGAATGTGTTGCAGCATAGAGGGCCACCACAAAATTGTACATTGGCTCCCGGCCGGCCTGGGCCAGGGCCAAGGCAGCGGAGGCCATTCCCTCACTGTTTCCAGGATAGCTTCGCGGGCCACATGAAACCACTTTGCGGGACGCATCCGGCCCCCGGGCCTTGTGTTTGACATGTCTGGCTTAGATCATCTCTCAAGATGATCATCTCATTTCTCTTTTCTCTTTCAGAAGGTGCCCTTTGCCAGATGTGGCATGAAGAGATGCCAAGCAGGAGAGAGGAGAAGAGTTCCAGAGGGAAAGCAGGTTTGCTGCTATCAATGTGATCCTTGTCCAGAAGGGAGCATTTCTGATAAGACAGGTAGAGCTTACTTCAAATTTAGGTCTTCCATGATCAAGGAAACCATTCAGCATATATTAATATATTTTCATATTAATTAATTTTTTATAGGATTGATATGCTTCAATAGTTCTCAGCACAGCATTTTAGTTTATGGAACTAAACTCACCTTCCCCAACATTTCTCTCCTAACCAATTTAATGCAGGGTAATTTCAATAAACAATTTATGGGTACCTTACTAGCTTTTCTTCCCTTACTTTCTCAGCCCATTGGAAGAACAGCTACCAATCATTTCATAAAGGATGGGAGTGTGAGGTTCAAGTTTTAATTTTTATTACTTAAGTAGGTGCTTCTTTCTTTAGTACTACTATTCTCTCAGGAAATTGACACACCTATAGGAAAAGTAGGAGATTGATCTATTCATATTTACTAACCTTCCCCTGGAGGGAAAATAATCTGAATGGGCAGAGGTACAAACAGAGAGGTTGATCCCGAAAGCTCTCAGTGCTGTCTTGTTTCTGCATCTTTCTTTCCTTTTTTTCCCTGTAAACAATTTCCCTTTAAACCACTTTTGAATGGGAAAAGAGACCTTTCTCCCTTACTCAATATACAGTTGCATGTCCTTTTTTCTCTCATTCTTTCAGCCCAGAACAACGGACAATGTACACATAAATAAAATAACAAGATCTTTGAGAATTCTGGGGGTTTCAGTATAAATTTGAAAAAAAAAAACATGGTTCATAGTTTCTATCACTCTGAAATCTAGAGTAGGCATTGATATGCCCAGTGACTGAAGAGACCCTTTAATCCAGAGCAATCTGATCAAACAGCTGGGGCTGAACAGAACTGACTCTCAGTGTCATCATGAAGGATAATTTGTCCTTTTTGATCCCCTGTATAATACACATAGTTCATTCATCACTAAGACTATGGGTTGGCCACAGCAGAAAGGAGACACTCATGTCATCCCTAAGGGAGGGATACTGCTCATATCAGATACCTCTGAAATCCTTAAACAAAGACTTTTGATTTCAGATGCTTCCCTCTGTGACCTCTGCCCAGAAGACCGATACCCCAATGAACACAAGAACCACTGCATTGCCAAAAGGATCCACTTCCTTGCCTATCAAGAGATCTTGGGATACACTTTATTATGTCTCACTCTTTTTCTCTCTATGATCACATTGGCAGTCCTGGTGATTTTCCTTAAACATCACGACACACCTATTGTCAAGGCCAACAACCGAGATCTCACCTACATCCTCCTGGTCTCCCTCCTGCTCTGCTTCCTCTGCTCCTTCCTCTTCCTTGGTCGACCCAGGAAGCTCACCTGCCTCTTCCAACAATCTGCCTTTGCCATATTATTTTCCCTTGCAGTTTCTTCTGTGTTGGCAAAAACTGTCATGGTGGTTCTGGCCTTTATGGCCACCAAGCCGGGGAACAAGACAAGGAAACTCTTAGGAAAACCATTGATCAATTCCATTGTCTTAGTTTGTCCCCTGGTCCAAGCACTTCTTTGTGCCACTTGGCTGGTGACCTCTCCCCCATTTCCTAACTTGGACTTCCACTCCTTGATAGGAGAAATCATCTTGGAATGTAATGAAGGCCCAGCTTCGAAATTTTATGCTGTCCTTGGCTACCTGGCTTTTCTGGCCCTCGTCAGTTTCACAGTGGCCTTTATGGCCAGGAAATTGCCTGACAGCTTTAATGAAGCCAAGTTCATCACTTTTAGCATGCTGGTCTTTTGCAGTGTTTGGATCACTTTCCTCCCTACCTACCTGAGCACCAAGGGAAAGTCCATGGTGGCTGTGGAGATCTTCTCCATCTTGTCTTCTGGGGCTGGTCTTTTGGTTTGTATCTTTTCCCCCAAATGCTACATTATCTTATTGAGACCTCATCTGAATTGTAGAGAAAATATAATGAAGCATAAAAATCACTGATTTATAAGGGATTTGGAAACCGGGATTGAAAGCAAGCCTGCCGATCATCAGCCCACCATTCTAACAATCTGAGCCACCATGCTCCTTTAACTTTTCATTCTTTGTGAGAGCATCTGACCAGAAATATGCATATGATCAAAAGTATAGTTTTAAAAGTGCTTATGTGATTGCATTTTTATATTTAGGATATCTGGTTTAGTTCAGTGTAGCACTTGTTTCCCATGGTACTCTTTTTAGCAATAGAAATAGCACTTAGAGTCATATACCACTTCACAGTACTTTACAGCCCTGTCTAAGTGGTTTATAAAGTCAGCATTTTGTCCCCCTAACAATCTGGCTCCTCATTTTACCAACCTCAGAAAGATGGAAGGCTGAGTCAACCTTGAGCTGGTGAGATTCGAACTGCTGAACTGCTGACAGCCAGCAGTCAGCAGAAGTAGCCTGCAGTACTGCATTCTAACCACTGTCCACCATGGCTGAAATTTGGATATGATCCTATTTTGTATGCAGATTGCTAGTTTACATGGACAGATTGCTTGTCTCCAATCTTTAGCTTGTGCTCTTCAGGCATAAATTGACAGTAGTCAGTGCTCAGTGGACATAATAATAATAATAATAATAATAATAATAATAATAATAATAATAATAATAATAATAATAATAATAATAATAATAATAATAATAATAATAATAATAATAATAATAATTATTATTATTATTATTATTATTATAATAATAATAATAATAATAATAATAATAATAATAATAATAATAATAATAATAATAATAATAATAATAATAATAATAATAATAATAATAATAATAATAATAATAATAATAAAGTTGGAAGGGACCTTGGAGGTCATCGAGTCCAACCCTCTGCTCAGGCAGGAACCCTATACCATTTTGGACAAATGGCTGTCCAGTCTCTTCTTAAAAACTTCCAGTGTTGGCGCATTCACCGCTTCTGGAGGCAGATTGTTCCACTGGTTAATTGTTCTAACTGTCAGGAAGTTTCTCCTTAGTTCTAGGTTGCTTCTCTCCTTGATTAGTTTCCATCCGTTGCTTCTTGTCCTGCCTTCAGGCGCTTTGGAAAATAGCTTGACTCCCTCTTCTTTGTGGCAGCCCCTGAGATATTGGAACACTGCTATCATGTCCCCCCTAGTCTATGATTTCAACTCACCTTCTGAAATGTGTTGCACAACCATGTTGAGATTCTGGAAAGAGTGCAGAGAAAAGTGACAAAGATGATTAGGAGGATGGTGACTAAAACATATGAAGAATAGTTGCAGGAATTGGGAATGGCTAGTCTACTGAAAAGATGGACTAGGGGTGACATGATAGCCATGTTCCAATATCTGAGGGGGTCAACCTATTTTTCAAAGCACCAGGAGGCAAGACAAGGAATAATGGATGGAAACTGATCAAGGAGAGAAGCAACCTAGAACTAGGAAGAAGCTTCCTAACAGTGAGGACAATTACTCGGTGGAGTGGCTTGCCTTCAGAAGTTGTGTGTGTTACATACTTGGTGGCTTTGAAGAAGAGACCGGTTAGTCGTTTGTCTGAAATGGAATAGGGTCTCCTGTTCAAGCAGGGGGTTGGCAGTCTCTTCCAATTTGGTTACTCCATGTTCTCATTTTAAGGCCTATGAGAGAATTAGTTTCTAATCAAATACACTTCTATATGGATAAAAGTAAACCAACCAAACATTGCTATGATTGTTGACACCTTTTCCAAAGTGCTTGAAGGCAGGACAAGCAAAGGATGGAAACTAATCAAGGAGAGAAGCAACTTGGAACTAAGGAGAAACTTCCTGACAGTGAGAACAATTAACCAGCGGAACAACCTGCATCCAGAAGCAGTGAATGCTCCAACACTGGAGGTTTTTAAGAAGAGATTGGACAGCCATTTGTCTGAAATGGTGTAGGGTTTCCTGCCTGAGCAGGGGGTTGGACTAGATGACCTCCAAGGTCCCTTCCAACTTTATTATTATCATTATCATTCCTATTAGGGTACAACAGTTTATCATGTGCCACCGTGCCCTACCAGCACACTTTCTGAAGAAACTATGACACAGATGCTCAGTTTCAGGTAACTCAAACACCCAGCTTCACCTTGGGTCTCAAGACACTGTGGATTAGCAACAAGAGAAATAAACATGTTTTTCCCCTTCTAGTTGCTAGGATAATTGTTTTTGGTTTTTTTTGCAATTGTCAGAAGAACATTAATTGTTAATGTATTCCCTGTAGATTTTTACCCTCACAAATCTTCCGAAATCAAACCTACTGTAAAAAAAATATATGCTTTTAGTGCTCCCTGTAGGGCCAGGACATATCTTGCCTTGTCTTGCAAGAAGCAAACTCCTGAGTTTGCTGAGACTCAGCTGGCCACCAATTTCTCTTTGGTCACAGCCCAAACAGAGGGAAGAGGAAACATGGTTGATATAAATTTGCATTGAGGCCATCCAGCTGGGAAGGCAGTCTATATTTTGCTAAAGCTCTGGTGAGAATTTCAAGTGCTACCTGCAATTCAGCCTCTGCATAAACCTTCATTTCTGATGTAGGAAGGAAGGTAACAAGAATGACTGGGCTGCCTCTCTTCCTGCTGTTGCTCTTCTGGCTCCTGCCTCCAAATGCTGCTAGGAAGATGCAATCTATATGTGGGTTGAGGAATTATTTCCAGTCACAGGAAAGCTACTATAAGCCTGGTGATCTCATTATTGGTGGGAATTTTCACCTGGGAACTACTCTTGCCATTGTTCCAGACTTTCAAAACAATCCATTCCTGCTTTTTATGCCAAGTTTGTAAGTCTCACCTGGAGGGATATGGTGTAGTGAATAGAGTAGAGTAGAGTAGAGTAGAGTAGAGTAGAGTAGAGTAGAGTAGAATAGAATAGAATAGAATAGAATAGAATAGAATAGAATAGAAGCTGGAAAGGACCTTGGATGTCTTCTAGTCCAGCCCCCTGAATTTACCTGTGTAGTTCAAATCCTTCTTCTTTTCTCAGTAAATAGCGAAATTCTTAAAATAGATAAATTCTCTATACAGAAGTTTTCATCAGAAAGATGATAAATAACAAAAGCAAGGATGGACAACAGGTTAGAAACTGTCCTGGCCTAGTGAAGAAGTAGAGTTATAACATTAATTTGGACAGAGGTTCGTGGTGGGAAGCTCAAAGAGAAGCTCAATGCTTTTCTAGTGTCTAGGAGTTGTATAAAACCCCCTCAGTTTTGGAATCAGCAGTGCTGACAGTGTTTAATAAATAGATGCTTGGACTGCCACTGAAGAAGCTGCTCCAAGAGAGAACCAAATTAATTAGGGTGCTAGTAGAGCAATGGGGAAGGATTATAACCACTGGAGCAATGTGAAGAAGGAAAGGACCTTAGAGAGTATAAAATGCTCTGTGATATGAAAAGAGACATTTTCTCCTTTCTCACAAAGTCATCCAAATATCATCAAGAAACGTCCTTCAAAAAGACTCAAACCAATGAAACTTGGGACTTCTGAGCCCAATCAACACCAAAAAAAGACAAGGCAAACTCCACCAACCTGACCTTTCCTGAAAATGATTTTTTTCACTATAGATTCATACCACAGAGCTACCAGCAGTTCCTGGCCTTGGTATTTGCTGTCAGAGAGGTCAACAAGGACCTGGTTATCCTCCCCAATATCACACTTGGATTGAAAATCTCTGACAATCAACAGACTGAGAGAAGTATTTCCATAATCAGCCTCTCCCTGCTCTCCACACAAGGCCAAATGATTCCAGGTTATCAGTGTGACAGGCAGGACACTCTGCTCTCTGTCATTGGAGGCTTTATTCCCAAATCCTCAAGGCAGATGGCTTCCATCTTCAGCATCTTCAAGGTCCCACAGGTAAGAGGGATATGATGATGGCTACTCACATAGACAAACAAGAGAAGCACACAAAGAAACCAAAGATCAAACCAAAGGTGTTTACTGGGGCATATCATGAATATGTGACAGATAATCCACATGATAGTTGAATTTATTTTTGTGTTTCATGTGTCAAGATAAAGTTTTATATAACATGATAGAGATCGATAATGAGATATTTCCTAAATGCTGAGCAGGCCAAGAGGAATTCTTTATACAGGAATTACTTCCTATCTAACTGACTAATACTACATAAAAGTGTAGCCACCCTTTCAGTGGAGTTTATTCTCTGTATCTGGTGGATGGTTTGTGTCCATGTCTTCAGACTTGTCACAATCAGGTAAAATATGTAACTTGTGGCTCTTCCTGAGAAAGGAAGAAACTTAAACTTGCCACTCAGAGTGAATCAGACTGACTAATGGAGCAATCAACCTTACAATGGTGACTCCTAAAGTCACCATAAAACTGTACTTTGTCTATGAAAAAAAAATCTTGCTTTCTTCAGCTCGGTGTTGGCTTTGAGTTCTCTCAAGAAGACAGGACCGATTATCCTTCCTTCTTCCAAGTTAATTCTAAGGAATTCCCTCAGTATGTGGGTTTAGTTCAACTGCTCCTGTATTTCCAGTGGAACTGGGTTGGGCTTGTGGCTAACAAAGATGACAGTGGAGAACGTTTCATCTCATCTCTGATGCCAATGCTCAAGGAGAAGGAGATATGTGTGGCCTTCACTAAAATATTGAAATCGGATAATTTTGTTGATACATGGAATAAATTTGTTCTTTTTTTAGAAAGCTGTTGTAAAGCTGAAGTGATTATTCTCTTTGGAGATCCTCAAACTAATGCACTTGTACAGTCAGCTCTGCATTATTACATAACATCCAGAAAGTCATCACTTCAGAAAGTTTGGATCCTAACTTCCCAATGGAAACATAACATGGGGGCACCTAAAGACACACTGTCAGTTATAAAGCCTTTCCATGGGGCTTTGCAGTTAAAGGACCACACAGGGGATATCTTACAATTCAGCCATTTTCTCATGTCTTTAGACCCTTTGAACTCAGAAGGGGACATTTTTCTCCCACAGTGTTGGGAAAAGATCTTTT